GAGATTTTCAAAAACAAAAAAAAAAAATAAGGGATGTGGTCGACAACCTTTTTGTTTGCCTTGACATTTATTTTTCAGCCAAGTAATTATTAGAGCTCATAGTTCATTTAGTTGAAAATTTCAAAACATGATAAGGAAATATTTCACTTTAAGAGCAAAAGAAATATATGATTTTCACATCATAGGCAGTGATGTATCATACTAGATTTGATAGATTTCGTAGATTCCAAGGAAACCGAGTTGGGCAAGAAGCCATATCCTTCAGTTCACAGCAACCATTTGCGAGTTATCGTAGTCTTCCCACGCTCCTGCCTATAATATCCCTGTTCCAAGTTTAAAACTGGACATATCCGCAAGAGAATTTGATAGCAGTTCTTATTCAGTTTGAATTCTTATTCAGAGAATTTGATAGCAGTTCGTAATTAAAGAATTCTAAATTTTACATAAAAAGGCTCTATCTCTTCTGATTGAGCATTGAAAGCATATTTTGCATTCGCTGAAAATTTTAATGTCGGGCAATTAATATTCATGTTCTTTTGTATTAAGACTACTGCATCGACTCCATCCAATCTGCATTAAAGGAATTAACTCTTCTCTCAACGATAGCCTCCTTCTACTTATAACTTTAATAATACATTAATACATAATATTGAACAGGTTGTTGAACACTGCCTTTTTAATATTATATTCATATAATTATTTTTATTTTCATACTAATATGGGGAACAACATTAAATATAATTCTGCGTTACCTCAATAAAAAAGAAAAACAGAAGAAAGAGTTTAGAGAAAGATGAAAAATACGGAAGGTACAAAGAAGATTTACCTGATTTTTGTCTTTTATGTTGTTTTTTTTTTTTTTTTGTGGGGGATATTGGAAAACATTAGGAAGGAATATTTTGTCTTCTCATTCTTCTCTACCTCTATATTAATAGGATATTTTTATTTTTATGTTTGTCAGTTTATACTCGTATGTACAATGACTTGTCATTTTTAATTTCCTGTCCACAAATTAAAAGACCGCATTTCTTTTTATTGTTTTTTGTTTTCCGTTTTTTTTTTTAACATATACGAATGTTTGTATAATCTTTTTTATTTATTATTATTATGCTTTTTCGGTAATTTTTTTGGTTTGCTATTTTTGGGGGAGAGTAAGTAAATGAACGTACGTCTATTTCAAACAAATAAGACTTTTTTAATTCAAAGAAAAAATCATTTGTCTATAATGTTATACAAAAATTTAATTCTAACGGGTTTTTCAATAAAAGTGTCCAGAATTCAAATTATTTGTAATGTTATATGTGAAGCTGTAAATCAGTTTTCTATCGTCTAATAATTATTGAGAAAGCTTTACAATTTCATCAAATATGCCTCAGAAAATTTTATAATCCGTAAAATTTCACAATTATTGCTTTTGGTATAACTGGTCGATTATTGCAACTCGCTTGATAACAATGTTACTTAATCTGTTTAAGTATCTTCGTCACTAATCTGTTTAGTAAAATTGATCACTTAGTGTGGCCGATGGTACGCTCTTGGTTTGTATTTCTGTAACAGTAAGAATGTTGAAATGTTGACATATTAAAATTGAGTAATTTTTCTAATTAACATTAGAAACTTAACCATTTAGTATATGCCTCAACAAAACGTCGTATCATATATGCTCATAATGGAGCAATTGTGAGGAAAATGAAGTAGAAGTTAGAATATCGAGAACATTTGATGAACATTTTATTCTAAATAGAACTGTTTTAAGAATACCTCCAACTTAAATAAAAGTAGTTCCAAATATACAAATATTATTGAAAAACTCTGTATAAAGAAGACATTATAATATTTTGGAATTTAAGAAAAACTCATATTGCAATAGAAAGAGCAATGACAAATAACCGTTTTTAATGTTATATTGTTTTTATAGATGCGTATAACATTTATAGAAATGTATGTACATATCTAATATTATATTAGTATTTTAGATTTAAGTGTATATAAGTGTTGCGTAAAATGAGGGTTCATGATGGTGATGGATTATCATGCCATTTTGATTTGAACTGAATGAACTAACTGAATAGTGGTTCTCCGACTTTTATATAGGAATGTTATGTGCTACTTCTAATAATGTTATGCGTATATGTACCATAATATGTAAGTACGTGTATGGTAGGAATATAATATTATTGTATATCGTTATCATTAAATAAATTACATGGTAGAATAAAGATTAGATTTATTTTAGTATCTGAATCAAATGGATTTTTTCTTTAGCCTGATTTTGATGCAAAAAATGAAAAAGACCTTAAAGAAAGAATTTTAAAGGTTTTATTTGATTTTTTTTTTGTTTAAAAGTTTAAATAACGAAATTTTTTCATATACAATATGGCAGGTCGTATGATGGCTGTCGAGTAAATTTCGGATGTCGAGTGTTGGTTTTCAATGGGAAAGCAATTCTCCTTAGGAAATTCAATTAGGGAAGCGTAAATAAACTATTTTTGTAGAGAAGTTGGTTTTTTTTGGTTTACCTGTCTGTCTGTCCGTCTGTTGGTCTGTCAGTCTACAGCCTGTCGGTCTGCTGGTTAAATGTCAAAATTGGGTGTGCACGCATATACATATCTCAAGTTCGGTTGAACTGATTTTAAGGAAATTCTACATATGAGTTTATTTTGAGTATGTCACGGGCTGGTCAATTTTTGGAATATATAACGTTTTGGCAATTGGACTTTTTGAAAGCCGACTTCATATTTTTGCGCATATAAACAGAAATAATTAACCAATTTTCTTGAAAATTAATATTTAAAGTCGGGGTGTTAAAACTATAAATCCGCAAATATTTTGGACAGTTATTTGTAAATAAATAAATTATATAAATTAATTACAGTTCTCGTTTTCAAAAAACAAATGAGTATAATGCCATCTAAATTGTTGGAGAGCATGAGGAATTATTCATATAACATCAATACGATTTAGTCGAAATCACGACCCTCGTTTCCTTGAATAATCTTTAAAAATATTAAACTGTACGATTTTTATTGTATACTCCTAGCATAATTACGTCAATAAAACGCCCTCGTATCTCATTATATATTAAATTTATAAATTTTTATTAAATTTTATTTCGCCTACACTTTAGAATTTTCATAAATCAAAAAATTTCTATATTAGCTATTCTTTATTTGACAATATAAAATTAGTCAAAATAATAATTTTTTCAATTTTTAAAAATTCACAAAGAACATATCCAATTAAAATCAGTTTTATTAAAGTAAATTTTTGTTTCAACATATAATTGACTTGATCCTTGAGATCCTTATCTCTTACTTAAACTAAATTACAAAATATAAGGACAAAAATAAGAAAAAGACGAACGAAAATAAAAACAGAAAATAAAATAAAATAAAAAATATTAAATTGTTACTGGGAACAAAAATTGAATTGAAATTAATTTTGACAAAAAAAAAGGATCCTTTTTTTAAAATTTACAAAAAAGAGAGAGAAAAAGTGTCTTGAATTAGGACTTATAATTGAAAATATCCTAATATTTCTTCTTATTTTCTACTTTCATTTCCATTTTTTTTTTAGTGTCCTTCTATATATTCCATATTATATTTATGTGGGTATATATGCTGTATATTTATTACAAATGAAAATTCAAAAGTAAATGTACTTAAGAGAAAACCAAACAAAAAATTAAAAATAAGGAAAAGAGAGAAAAATAAAAGGATATTTTTATTTTTGTTAAAATCCTTATGTTTTACACAATATTTTCTGTATGTGATAATATCTAATATTGTAATAATAATATGGTTGTATTCTTATTTTACATCATCTCTGTATATATATATAAATTCCTTTGACATGGTTGTAGATCTAAGAATCTTGTATATTTTAAAATATAGAGAAGTATTTTATACAAGCATGTGGTTATTCAAGTAAGTGTAAGTGTATTTAGAAAATGAGAAACAAAAATCAATGTGGTTGGTTTTTGTACAAACTGCAGTTCTGTATTTACTGTACTTAAAAAATGGGAATTTATATATATACGGGAGTAATATTTTGCAAGTCCTACAGTGTCAGAGAAACTTAGAAACTATGTGTTAAAAAGATTATCAAAAAAAAACTTGATGTTGCCACATAGCCGAACCATATATATGCAAGAAATATTATCAAAATTGAATTGGAATCTATTAAATTTGTTCTACTACTCGTATCATGTTTCGCATTTGAAATTACCGTTTCCAACATTACCCTTCTGTTGTAAATATATAATATATTGAATTCAAAAATGTGCCTTATAGTTATAATTTACTACGATTTATTAGAGAAAATTGAGAGGGTATTATCCATTTTTCAAATGATGAAAAATGTGTTCCAATTTAAATTTCACACAATTTATTAAGAAATTTTGAGCAATGCTAGCAGAAGCATTTCTTAGAAATTTGATTAAGAAAATTATTTAAGAAGTTGTTATCCTGTTTCATAATTTTTCAGGAGAAGAGTTTCTCAATTAAAAATATGAGAAATTCATTTAGTTAAGTAATATGTAAGTAATATTATAATGAAATACTGAAGAGGCTTTCTGCGGCTTCGAAAAGTCAAGAAGCATGCAGGAGATTACGATCAAAGGCGTTTTAGTAAAATCATGGTGTTAACCAAGAATTAGGTGAGATTTCTCCCCGGTATCTCGATAGAGCATTATAGATCTAGAGGGGAGACTGGGCCTAGAAAGTGAAAGTAGTTGAAGATATTGCAGCCAGGACGAGAAGGCCGCCATATACCTTGTGGGTTAATGCGGGGCCCTCACTTGGGTAAGCGAGTACTCACTCCGAGAATCGGCGGTTTGTCGGGTCTTAAAAGTTACTCGAATTCATTAGGAGTGTGGGTATTGGGTGGGGTGTTGTAGGGTTTTGTCCCATAGTTGTAATATCCTTTAAAATTATCTAAGCTAAATAATATATAAATTTTGTTAATTAAAATTTATAAATTAAATTTGAAATTAATTATAGATTCAATTCCCTCTTCAACGTCTCCATTTGAAAATTATAACGATTTTGTAAGAGAAACTCTTTGTCCAATTGCTCTTTTAACAGTAAACTTCAGGTAATTTGAATTATTCCTATTCCCTTTTTTAAATATAATAAATTAATTTTGATTATATTTGTTGGTACACTTATTTCTGAATTATTTTCTATTGCGGACTTCTGTTTCCAGACATTACGACTCTATACAATTCCTTTGAATCAAAGCAATCATTTTAGAAATATAACGAGCCTGTATACGGTTGTTGTTTTTTTTATGTCAACTCTTTTTAGTTATCATACATACATACACATACATACAATAACAATTTTTATTATTTTCTCATGATACCATGTAGTTTTGATGTTCTTTTCACCATAATACACAAACCCTCTTTTTATAGTGGTACTTTCTTTTTTCTTTTTTATGACTATTTGGTGATATTCTTTATTCAGTATGTCCAGTTTAGTTCTCATATTATAATGTCAGTGTATGTTTTATTTTTACTTTTTTTTTTTTACATTTTTATTATTTTTCTTAAATGAAATTGGTTTTTACAAGGATCCCAAAAATAATGTAAAAAAATTCGAAATACTCAAATGTATGTTTAATACTTATGTTTGGGTTTTATAAATTTATGTTTTTTATTTAAATCTTGTAATACAGGGTATCTAACAAGAAAAACACACAAAATTAATAAGAACAAATAAACAACATGGAAAAGTATTTGAATTGAATTTTTAATAAGCTTTTAATAGGATTAAGTATAGAAATTACGATATTATATTTTGAAAAGACGTGAGTATATGGTTGGTAATTATGAAATAATTTAAAATAAAATAGGACACATCCACAGAATTGATAAATAGAAGAGCATTTCAGTGGAAAATTTACTCCTTTAGTACAACTTCCAGTTGACACGGTGTCTTTTGCAAAATGCCATTAAATATAATAGGACACGTTGAGATTTTAACAGAAAATCATCTTTCTACGGTAGATAACTGCTACTAAACTATATTCAGCAAGATTACGATTGGTCGGCCCGGTACTCTCCTGACGATTTCAAGTGAATCGATTTCAATGCGTACAATATACATATCTGAGTTATTTTCGTAGACGTGTGGAATTGTAATGAGCACAACAGGAATTAAAACTTTGGTTTTGATTCTGGGCCAGTTTAGGGTTTATAACCGATGTGCTTTCTTAATATTTTCTTGATACTAAATTTGAAAATTCAAAATTTTCCTCGAGATCTATTTTTAATTCCAGGCAAGGCCTATATATGGTAATATTTTATTCGATTTCTTTTAATTTAACTGAAGTTTATAAGAAGCCTTTTATATCTGCTTTTATGATCGTTTTTATTAATTAATTAGAGTAAACCTATGAATATTTGTTAATCTACTTTCTGGAAGAGTTGTAATAACAATCTGGTGATTGTTTTGGCGTTTCACGCAAGTATTACGGAAAATTGATAAGTAAAATAATTGTTTTTAATAAAATAATTAGTTCTTGCGAAAAAGCAATTTATTAACTCTGAAATTAAAATGAATAACACCCTATACCAAAAAAAAAATAAACGTACAATGTTATCGTTTACTATTATATAGAAAATGTACATAATATGTTTATGCATATTATGGGGATAAACTCTAAGATAATAGTTTATGATTCGGAAATGTGTCACAAAGCACGTATTTTTCTCAATTTTTTCATATTCGTTCTCTAAATATGGGGGGCACAAAATCGAAAAAGAGAAAAAGCAAAAAATATAAAATAACGCAAGATAAATTTCATTCTACCATAAATGGTAACTAAATCTAGGATTTATAATATTTTTCTATATATACTTAATATTTGTATATATGGTATATAAATTCTTTGATATTTAAATAATATTGTAAAAATAGTTATGTGCATAGTATTTTTTTTTTGTATTTTGTATAAGGATTAGAGTATTTTTCGGAACATAATATACTTTACATTTAACATATTTACATGTACAAGCTATAAAGGTTTTCATCTTTGTTTCAGTGTTTTGTTTTTTGTGCTTAAATTTTTTGTTTTTCAAATATTGTTTAATACAGAGTGTATACAAAAAATAATTACAATTAACTGCATATTTTTTTAATTTTCGGACGACCAATTTGATTTTCAATTCAATTTAATGTTTATATCGTTTACTGGTCAGATAATAGAAATTTTTATAGGACAATACAGGAAATTTATAAGCTACTCGTAATTTGTAATAGATCCCTAAAGCATTTGATTGTATATTTGCCGGTCTTAAAATGAGTTCCTTAATATGCTAAAATGATATTTAATTTCTATTTAGGAAATTCTCTTAAGAGTTATTCAAGAAATTTATATTTTCCAACTTATTTCAATTTACAAATTAAAATGATGCATTAAGGAACTCATGCAATTGAATAAGTAAGAAATTTAATAATATTATGAATAAATTTTATTAAGATTTTAAAATAAAAAATTTAAAATCACTCTTCAAGATTCATGATGCAATTATAAGGTTTTTATTTAGAAATTTGCATTTAATTTAGAAAATTTATTAACATCTAATGTGAATCGGGCAAAAAAATTCATATTACTGCAATATGAAACTCAAAGCTATTCAAATTAAATTGAAAATATTCAATAATTTTTAATTTAAACTAATAACTAAAATTAAAACTAAAATTAATATGCTCATTTCATATTTTTAATTATAAAATAAGACAATTTAGAATTTAGAGAAATTGGAAGAAACTCAGAAGAATTGTATTGTTCCGCTTACTCTCTTAACACTCTTATATATCTTCGAAACTAGGTATACCTTTTCAAAAATATTAAAAAATAAATTATACAGCTTTTAACAAAAAAAACTCCGCAAAACTGAAAAAAAATTTGTTACTTTGAATTACAATTGCGTACTGAATGAATTATTCTGCATATTATATATCAAAATGAAAAGGGGAATGTCCCTTTTTACTAAAAAAAAAAATTAAAAAAATATATTTTTACAAATGTATGTAGCTTAATTAAAGCGGCTTAAGCAGTATAAGGGCTCGTTATTGGTGCGGAGGGGAAGGAGGGGCTCAATAGTGCATATTTTACCCTAGTATGTTATTTTAATTTTATTTCATTATTGCAGTTTGTATTTTACATTGAAATTACAACATTTTGTTGTTATTTTATTCTTCTCTTCTCAAAATTAAACTGGAATACATTGTATGCATACTTTTTTTTTTCTTGTTTATTTCAAAATAATTTTGATTTTTGATATTATTTTCTCTTATAATATTATCCTATATACATGCACATACATTTATACATACTGACATACAAGATTTTTGATCATTATTATTATCCGTTTATGAATTTCAAATTTTATATTATGTCCAATCTCATATATTCTATACTTGTATATCACATAGTATATAATATATGCATACAATACGAGTATATTATGATAATTTGGTATATGACATAAAATATGTATTTATGTATATACTTGTATATATTAACTGTTTATTACATACATAATATATTATATATGTTATATTAATAAACTAGTATATTATTAGTTTTTTTTTAATGCTATAATATTGACTTTAATGAAATTGGAGGGGGGGAAAATATCAAAAAAAAAACAAAAACAATATTTTTTATTTAATATTTATTATATCCTTTTATAAATCTTATATTCGTATTCAATAAATCCTTATTATTATTTTTAGAGTATATACACATAATATACAATATTTGTATATAAAATTTTTTTACTATATACATTTAATTTTATTTTATAAATGAAAAGGACATTCAATATTAATAACGAAAAGAACAAAAAAAAAAATTAATAGAGTTTACTTTTTATCTTAAATTAAGTGTTATATTCTGTATGAGTGTGTGTGTGTATAAGTGTGCTCATTTACGTCAGGCATTATACTATTATATGTTCTTGTATACATACTACTATTATAAATTTTTATATACTGTTTAGATTTTTAGTGTTATTATGGTGTTTTTATACGATAATAATATTTATGAGTTGCTAAAGTTATAAAAAAATTTTTTTTGATAGATTTTTCTACAAGTGCAGATGTTGAAAATAATTAAAAAAAAAAATTGAATTTTTATTTTTTTTCCTAGTTTGGTTTTCTTGATGTTGTGGTAAGTTAAGTAAGGATAGTTTGGTTTTTTCTCTTGCTTTTGTTTCGTTAACCATAGAATTTTGTTCATAATATTAATTAAGAATATGTCGTTCATAAGAGAATAAAGTATTTTTGTGTTTATTTTAGATGAACTTTTGATGTAAATTGGGAAGTGTAATTATTTTTCAAGTTCCATTCGTATATTATAATATTGATAAAAATTTTTTTTTAGAAGAAAATTAATTTGAATTTTTCGTACATTTTGCGTGTAATTGAAATTTATTGTTGATAATACTGGTCATGAATGTGCAATATAAATTTGATTTTTGTTAAAGAAAATATTTTATGTGTATTCGATCGTGTGTATCTTGTTCGGCATTGCACTCAACACATCTACGGTGAGAATGCAGGGCTCGTGAGAAACTACAGTCTGCCGAGCTTTAAAAGTTGCTCGAATTTATCAGGAGTGTGGGTCTCGAAGGAATTTTGTAGGGCTTTGTTCCACACCAAGTTGAGGGTGCAATAGATTTATATATTTTCTGATTTCGGTGCACTGTTACTCTTTCTTTGCAATCTACAACCTACATCGTGTGTTACTTTACAGTTTAATCGTATCCTTTTAATTTTAGTTTAATCGTTTTTTAGTCTAATACAGCAAATATTTATTTATTAGGGAGATTAGCCCTTTCCAAAAAGTTAGACCCCCCAAAAAACCCTAAAAATGCCATTTTTTAATTAACCATAACCATTTTTCAAATTTTCCAAACGCTTTGAAAAAATAGTTTTAAAGCTTGAAAAAAACTAATGCTAAAATTTACCGTTATCTAAAATCTGTTTTTTTTTTTTTTAATTTTGATATCGTGTTACTTTTAGACCGCATGTTGTAAGAGTCTGAAATTTTAGCAGCTTTCAGACACTTACAAATAGTAA